GAAGGAGCCAGAAGCCTACATAAACATTTCACTTCCACTGACATAGCATTAGATCCTCCTTGTTTGTTGGTTTTACTTTCAGAGCTTGGTGGGGTGAATTGTGTCACTCGGAGAGGGTCCAGTTAGAGTTATTGCTCTTATGAATTTGGGACATGACGTCACGGGGTAATTAAAAGTGCTTTTGAAATTCCGTTTGCAATTCAAGTCTTGTAAGATGGCTTTTTTCGAGCACCTGCAGCTTGGTGTGTGAGGGAATATTTTCACTGGACGCGGTTCAAACTTTGAGGGGAAAAAGAAAAAACACGGAGGCAGCGGCATTACGCCATTCTTGCCTCTCTCACTTTGAGAAAAAGTGGGATTTAAAAACGTTCTCAGAAGATCTCGATCAGAATAGAGCAGTGGAGGGTTAACTGCAAGTCTCTGGTTAGAGCTCCTCTCATCTTTAAAAAACTACTTTTTGGACCTGCGTCCTGTGCCATTACCGGCAGGATCTTTACGCAGCATTATGATTCTTATATTTCGAGGAAAAACATTAGATCTCCAGCAAATAAAAGGCAGTTTTAGCCCACGTCTTTATTTTTATAGCCTTGCATATGTCTATAGTTTATGTCTGACACGGAAAACACCTTTTATTCAGGACTTTACTGGCACAGCTCAGCGCACAGAATGAGCATCCTCCGCTCAAAGACTCACTGATTCTCCACTGACTGCGTTTATTACAATGTGGGCCTGGCACATTGGGCTTTAGGATGACAGTTGTCAAGTTACTGCTGTTGAGCTGCTGGACTCTTCTTTACGCGCATCCGTTACTGGCTTCACTCAGACCCACAGCGGGCTTTACCGGGACTGGTAAATCGTGGAGACCGTCTCCTGCAAGAATTACGCGTATCCAGGCACCAGGACCAGCGCTGACGAAAGGGGCAGCTGGTGCCAGTAAAGTTAAACACAGCGCGTATTCGTCCGTGACTGGAACACGCACCCTGAGAGACAGGGCAGTGGGGTCACAGGGGCGCTCGTGGACGGACAGAGAGCATGCTTTCAGGACGCACTTCCCATACGCAGCACCGTATATAGAAGTAGACAACGGCAAGGCTGAGGGTGCTGTCAGGGCAGTGCAGCGGTCCGGAGATACTACTCAGCGAACAGCGGCGACTGCACAGAGATTTAATAATCGGCAGCAGCTTCAGCAGCTTCAGCAGCTCAGTGCGACCGCAGCAGCTCAGCGCGTCAAGTTTCCAAAAGCTGCCCCTGAGCGGGATGCGCACCACAGGCAGCCTCTGGTGGTCCCTCACGACTACATGTTGTCACTCTACTGGTCCCTGTCAAATGGCGACGTGAATGGCAGCGCACTTCACGAGGCCGGCTTGGCGAACACCATCACTAGCTTCGTGGATAAAGGGCAAGGTAACCGAAGTGCGACTAAATCCACGTTCAATTCATTTAGTCTTTCAGAATACTCCAAAAATTAAAAATAGGCTGTTTAGGCCTGGTAAACTGCAAGACGTTGATACAAGTTTTATACAAGTTTCGTTTTCTACTGTTTTAGTATAGCCCATGTTTGATATTTGATTTAGTTAAAATATAAGTTTTGACTTGTGGTATGGTTAGGCTATATTGCCGCCTATGCCACTAGATGGAGTAGCTTTGTAGGGTCTAGCTCAAAATTTCATTTATTTATTTTAAATTGTGACAGATGAGGCTCAGTGTAGAGTGCCATACAATCTTATTTGTATTTGGCTTTGCAATGTAGCTGTGTTTCATGTCAGACAGATCTGTTTGCCAGACTTCAAAGCCAACTACACAGAAACTAACAAAACACCCTTGTTCATAGCAGACACTGACACCGCAGTTTGATAACTCTAAATGTCACCAACATGTGTTCAGCAGACCACAGACCTATTGCACTGCACACACAGTGTATAGTTGGCAGGTGTCCAGTAAAACTGTATTCGGTTCTATTAAATAATCCAGTAATCACAAAAAATGTGCAATGAACTTCATACACCAAAATATTTCACTAAAAAGTATTTACATACCTTTACATTCTTATATTATATTATTCTATTCCACTTAATTTGATCAAGAGCCAGAAGAGATGGTGCCTGTCCCCTCTGAGTAATGATTTTTGCTGTCTACTGCTGATTGCTGCTCATGTGTTTAAGTCTGTGTCTCTCTGGACATGTGTGTTCTCTACCATCTGGTGCGCTCCAGAAAGCACTGCAGTCCAACACAACCTCAGGAGGGTAAATAAACACGGCTCATAGCCACAAGTCGGGTGGCCCCCTGTGTAATGTTATCTTTATGGTGTAAAACTGTTTAAAACAATGTTTTCAATGAGCAGAGTTTAATATTTCTGGTGTCGCGAGAGGTTTACTTTTCAAGGACTAAATGTTCTTTTAATTTGGCCCTTATTTGTTTAGTGTGTGCAGAGCAAATCATGGGTGACCCCCTGCACATGTGCAGTGGCCCACCGATGGTGTAACATATAGGCTGACACCTCTACTCCAGGTTCACATCTACTGACATCTTATTCACTAGTGCTGGTCACTTTGAAACTGGCCACAATATTAGCACTTTGTGAGAAAAGCTTTCACCATATCAAGTTGGTGATCTACCTGTAATACTCACTAAATCATATATACAATAAATAATGTCATTTGTCTAAATGACTGCGTTGTAAAACAAAATAAAATAATTTTCTCAGCAGCCACCTGGCTAAATTTGTAGGTCCATAATAACAAGCTTGTTTACTCTTGGATGCTGCCTCTCGTCTGCTTTTAATGTACCACTTGAATCCTGCATGAGAACAGGGGGAATTACGTGAGAAGAGGCTGCGAGCACAAAGATACCATGTCTGGATTCCAGACTGGGAAGTCCACTGGTTTTCCTTACTGATAATGACATAAAACATTAGATGCCACCCCATTCCCTGCTGCTTTTTAACATGTTTCAGTCAGCTGGTGAATTTCTTTGTGAATAGCAGACCATAATTATACTACCATGCCCATTTCACTGAGAAGTTGATATACAAATGTAAAAATGCTACATTGATGAAGTTATAAATCAAATGTAAGTAGTCTTCTAGAAGTCATGGTATTAAGATGGTTTCTTCAGAAATCCAAACCACATCCTGCCACTCAGAGAAAAGCTCATAAATCTCCATAAACCACAAAGCATTATTTGGATGCACACTCAAATCTCAGTGCCTTGCACTTTAGTGCTGAATCCAACTTTTCCTGGACTTGCAAAACTGCCATGTCACATCAATCATTCTCTGAGATTGATTTTTATCAGAGGTAATCTCCAATAATGATTTTAGTTTTGCCAATATATATTTTTCATTCCTTGTTCCTCATATTGTTTGACACACAGTTTGGAGGCTTTCTGCAGTGATTGATAGTAGATAGTATCTGATGAGCATTAGAAAAGTATATTATTTACAAATAAAACCTGAAACTGATGTAGCTTTTTAAAGTTATATTTAACCTTTATTTACATAAGAGAATCAAACTTAGGACATGTAGTATTTGTGCTGTCTTGTGGGCATCTTAAAATTAATTGAAGAGAGTGGACAAATGGGGCTATATTGACCCTTCAAAAGTTAAAGTAGACTCACTGTTGTTGAAACAATCCAAATATATTACATTTATTTTTTTTTACAGTGTTTGAGCTCCATCATCACTTATATGTTGTCTTTGCATTGTACCCCAGCCCTCTGTGACCAATTTGAGTCTCTTTACTTTTCTGTCTTTCCTAGATGAGCGTGGGCCACAGCTCAGACGGCAGAGGTATTTCTTCAATATCAGCTCCCTGGATCGAGACAGCCTCTTGGGGGCTGAGCTACGCATCCTGAGGAAACACCTGTCCGACCCCCGCAGGGTGTCCATGGTAACGCAGGGGTCTACAGTTACCGGGCCCTGCCTTCGCCTCTATACCTGTGCTTCAGGTCGCCAAAAGCCCAGTCTGCTGCACATGAAGACTATGGATGATGTGGTTAGTGGGGGCGGATTTGGCAGCAAATGGGAAGTATTTGACATATGGAAAGTTTTCAAGGGTTTAAAACATCAGCAAAACACACTCTCCAAGCAGCTGTGCTTTGAACTGGAAGCACTGCAATATCGAGGCGGCCGGCCCATAGACCTGCGAACTCTTGGGTTTGGTCGTCCTGGAAGGAGCAACAAGGAAAAGGCGTTTCTCCTGGCATTTGGGAAAAGCAAAAAGAGGGACCTATTTTACAATGAGATCAAAGCGCGATCGGGCCATGACAATAAAACTGTCTATGAGTACCTCTTCACACAGAGGCGAATGCGACGAGCTCCGGCCGTCAGGGCAAATAAAAAGCCCATGCAGCCGCCCCAGGCTTTCCCTCAGAACCAGGTCATTAAAGCTCAGACCAAACGCTGCCATAAGAAACAGCTGCATGTGAACTTTAAGGAGATGGGCTGGGATGACTGGATCATCGCTCCATTGGAGTATGAGGCCTTTCACTGCGACGGGGCCTGTGACTTCCCCATCCGCTCACACCTTGAACCCACCAATCACGCCATCATACAAACTCTTATGAACTCTATGGACCCGTCCTCAACACCACCCACATGCTGTGTCCCAACTAAACTCAGTCCCATCAGTATACTCTACATTGACTCTGCCAATAATGTGGTATACAAACAGTATGAGGATATGGTGGTGGAGTCATGTGGCTGCAGGTAGCAGATGTGTATGGTGCTCCCCAAAATATGTGTAGTCCAAATATAGTTCAATGAACATAGTTTGACACATCACAATTCCAGGTCTCAATACAGCCATAATGTCAGACTAACAAAGTTACAAACATTTTACAGGCAATTCCCAAAGTTAAGACTTAAAGTTAAAAGAACTACCCAACCAGAAATGTGTTCACTCTAATTTATTCTTTTTTTTTTTTTTCTTTTTTGGGTTTTTTTTTTAAACATAAGTGCACTATGTGAAAGATGGGCCTTATGTCCATGTTATTTTAGGTGTTATTGCTTTGCCTGGAATTTTCTATAGTGTGTTAAACATTAAACATACATCACCATGGTGACAAGCATGTGAAGCCAGCAGTCTAGATCTGTGGAAAGGTGAGCCTACTCACAATAAGAATGCAGGTTTTTCAAGGTATTTGAATACATGCTAAGTAAATAAGTTAATGTCTAACTGTGGAACATTCCAGGAAAGCAATAATATCTCCATGGAGACCAACAAGTGGCAGAGCTTCCACCAGAAGCTTACATAGTGCACCTTTAATAATAATAATAATAATAATAATAATAAAATTTGTCAAAAAGTGATGCTATCATTGTTTAGGCACATTTTTGGCTTTAATATAAAATATAACAATCGCAAAATTCTTGCTAATTGTAATTAACTGGTTGAAAATCTGTGTAACAGTGGTTTATGGAAACATTAGTGATTTGGAAGTCGGAACAAAGGCATGAGAGTATCCAGGAAGAAGAGCCTGAAGTGTTGCAACAGACATTAGTCATCACACTTAAGCAGACTATCAGACTGCATACCAGAGACTATGAAAGACCTTTTAAATGAACTATTTCACAGAACTGAAGGAAAGTTCTTATTCAGTATATATAGTTATATAGTGTCATTGGTATAAAAAGTCAGTCAATAAAATAAATGCATATGATGAATTATAGCTAAACTGCCCTTTCTCAGCACTTATCTGCCATTGTACCTTATAAGTATGTGAAAAATGTCCACTGTTTAAATAATGTCCAGTGATTAAGTGCAAATTTGACCTGTTCCAAATGTGGAAAAGTTGAATTAAGTACTCTTCAATAAAATATGTCTAACTGAGTGATATCCAAATTCCTATCGGTGCAACCCCCTGACCCCTAGGATAGACTAAACTATCAAAGAATTCATAGGACTTGCACATGCCAAATAACAGACTGATTGTGTTTGACTTGGAACATCCATTACGTGTGGTTTAACCATCCGGGTAAGTGTTGAAATTATTAATCTTCTGACTTTTTTTCTGTTGTTTCTTAGTTTATCATATACATATATCATCATGTTCTTGGGCACCATCTGTGAGAAATAGCATTTAAATCTAAAGGTCATTTGCTTGCACTAATTCTAAACAATTTGTTACCCCTCCAAAAGTTCTAAACAGCACAATCAAGCCTGCTGAAAGGTTATAACATAGCAAGCTCAAATTTTATACTATGTAAATCAAGTATGCAAATGTATTTTTATTATAGCATGGAAATAGAAACTTAACTGCTGTGGGAGATTATAGCCAAGGAGCCACAAATAAGGCCAAATAAGATTCACGTTTGTAGAGATGCAAGCCCGCTCACAGGATGCATGTTTTCAGTGCAATAAAAATATACCAAAATGAAAAAACAACAACATAGTTTCGTTTTCAAGGGCTTTTAAAATACAATAAAAATATAATATGCATGGATTATTTTGTTGTTTACAGTAAGTCATAAGTCACCATATCTGTGATTTAAGAAAATAACAGAAGGCCAAAGACTGTCACAGTGTGAGGGTATATACGTGCATTGTTGTGATCTGTGTTGCACAATCTTAACAGTCTATACAGTTTACTCCATAGCAAAAACTTATTATCATTCCCCAGGCAGATCGTTGGGGCTACAAGAAATTACCTGACAACTTAGAAAGTTGTACAGACATCCACATCTCGAGTGTTGCTATGAAACACACGCAACAGTTTCCTGGTTTGGAACATGTGCTGCATTTCATATACAGAACAGTGAACGCACCTGTCCGCTTTCTGCTTCAAAGCTCCTCCATTGGATGAAGCCATCTGTGAGAACAAATGGCTTTTTCTTGAAGATGCAGTGATGTAAGCACTTCCTTTAATCAATGCTGAGACATGCCAGTACTATTGACCCTCTCTCAAAATATGAAGAGACAAGGAAAAGGGGGCTGAACAGCATTGCAGTATATAGAAATGATAGAGTATGTACTGTTATACATAGTTATGGTGCAAAGGGTCTACAAAGACAGAATATTGGGTACAGTAACTCCTGTATGAAATACAGCTGAATAGAATATATAGACAGCCACTGTCATCATTCTTTCTTGACACAGGAAAAAAAACAAACTTTTTGAGTAATATTGATGACTCGTTTGTGCTCAGATTTAAGCCTGTGACTTACATAGTAGTATATTTCAAGGACTTCAGATGTCTTTTTGAGGCATCACTGCAGCAACAATACCAATATTTCTGTGTGATGAAAAAAGAAAGCTGCTTTGTTTTTACAGTTTCTTGTATACAAGATTACAGTCAATAAATAAACATTTTAGACAGTGCAGTGTTTAAAAAAATAATAATAATTTGGCTAACTGTGGTATATTTGTCCCTTAAATAAATAAATGCTACCACAGATGCGCTGAAAAGAAACCAGCAGAGGTGAGTTGTGAGTCGTGTTAAAGGATATTGGGAAACAGTATTCCCCACAGAGAGAGCACCTGGTTTTAATTATCGCACATTTCCACACATTAGTCCATCTGAGGCTTGGGCAGTGCATTCTGCAAACAGCTGATTTAAATCTCCATGTATGATTTATGGTGACTGATATTTTCTATGATTTATGGAGCCTAACAGTGTATTTGCAGGACAGGAAATGAAGCATAATTGGAAAATTGACTTTTTAGCATTTTTAGCAATTGTCCTGTGTACATTTTCCCTTCTGCCATGGTAGATTTTGTATATTACTCTTATGCTTCTTACATGATAATAAGTTAGTTCATTATACTTCACCTCAAATATACTTCAAACTGTCATCAACAGAAAACATAGTCAAAAAGAAGTCAGAAATTTGTAAGTAACCTGCCAGTGGTTATATGTAGATTTATTTTGGTGTTTTATTACATTTGTGTTAAAAGACCCTTAATGTAGAAATAGTTAAATAATTGGAGAAAGTTAACATGCATTTGTAATCATATGATTTCATTGGTCTTTGTCCCACTGAACCATGAGTACCTCTGCTCATCTCTGTGGTCCCACTGTTCAGAAATGTGTAGTAAAGCAGAAACATGAATTGTTTACTGGTTTCACATTTCCATGTCGCTGTTTGTGGCTCGGAGTTGTGGCAAAGTGTCAGGCAGAGTCCTGGAGTACAAGATCAAGAATCTGGTTAAAGAGGCCTATTGTATTTCCTTGTTCACATGTAATCAGAAACATATGCCTTCCATCTTCAATGCTGAAAAGGGAGGCTTGTTTAACAAGGCTTAACTTCATTGAAAGCAATTTTAATGGCTGCCCCTGTTACACATATAACAAAGATGTTTCTGGAAAGCTTGTGAGTATGTCTCTGGAGAGAGCAAACACCCAAAAGGCTTGTGTTCCACTGAGGTCTAAAGGCCTGAATGGCCAGGCTCCTTTATGTTCCCATGTCTTGTAAACACATTTGTATATTAAGCTTTGCATTTGCAGCTTTTACAAGTTAAACATCATGAAATGCAAAGGTCTAGCCACTCAAGTACAGATAATATTTTCTACACATGACTCAAGTAGTCAATGATTCATATCCAGGTATGACTTGGAATGAAATTAGGTTGAAATGATGTACATGTTCATCTATAGGGGTAATCCTATTAAATCTTTTCCTTAGAATTTGAACATTAATTTTAAAATCACAGGAAAATACATTCAAATTCTTAAAATGACTTCAGTGCCACATCACAAAAGTTTGTTAAAATGATCATAACTTTTTCTGACACCAGTGAACCTTGGATTCTTGCTCCTGCATTGAATTTAAGCATATCTCTATCCAAGCTGTTTCTGGCTTCATATTTATTAGATCTGGCAATTGCTGAGCTGACCGCCACTTTACTTTTTAGTAAATGTAGTCGCACTTTTTCATGACAGATGTTGGAGAGGAATTTTATCTTGTGGGCGCCAATATCTGCTCTTAGAAAAACAGTGCCGTTTTAGTTGGCGCAGTTTGTCTGACACCTACAGTCACAGCTGTCTATGTCTTTCCCAGCATGCTTTTAATGTGGAAGTGTGCGCTTATGTGCGTGAGGGTAAGTGGTCGATCATTCTCATATTATTTGAGAGTTGATTTGAAAAATATCTGTGACTGTAAGACTATAAGTTGCATACATTAGTGAGTAAACTGTGGGGTATTCTCATACGGGTCAGGTTGCCTGAAGTTGAGCACATTCTCAGTATAATTGTGACCACAATATGAAGTATTTTGCATAGGTTAGTCAAGCCTTACTGTTTTTGACTAATTATTTCATATCATGTGCCTGTACAGTTGGAGTTGGGTCTCTTGCATTTTGGCTTTGATGACCAATGTACATCTGTAGTGGTGTTAATGTTCAGTTTTACGTTGGCCTCATTCTTTATGCTTGTCATAGTATTGAGCTACAGTACTGTTCACAATACAGACTATTTGAACTACACTTTATCCTTACCATGATCTGTTAAGCATGCATAAATTAAATAAAACACAACTCATAGGCTATATGGGTTTGAGGAAACAACAGTATATTTATAACTTTATCAAGCTCTCAGCTCGTGTTTTAAAATATTTCAAGAAATTATTAGTTCTAAGGCAGCTTCCCACCTACAATACAATAGTAGTTTTTTATTATTTTTTTTACTGGACTACAATATGTAGAAAAATTGTCCATGGAATTTGTGTTAATCTGGCTATAGTATTCTACAGTATAATACTCAGCTATCTCAATGGAGAATGTTCCAAACTCTCGAGTTGGTTGTGTGCTGTTCTAGGATTACCATCAGCCTGTTTACAGAATGTTTGCATCTAAGAGGACATCATCTTCTTTTGAGGTTGATGTCAAATATGAACATTATGTCCCTGCATACACATGAGTGCCCTCCCACCGCCCTGACCACACACAGACTCTGATAGATACAGGAGGCTTTCACACACTCCACGCACTCCGTGAACCATTATCATTACCAGGTGTTGAAAACAAGAGATATCATTGCTAGTGACTCATCAATCACCACTCCTCCCCTCATACAGTACGTACCTCAAGTTGCCAGGAGACCTTTTTTAGGATGTAAAACATTTTTGACCACCTGTGAGCTTTGGCTCAATGCAGCCCAAACTAATTTTTCACTTTTACAAAAATGTCAAAAAAGATGAGTATGAGGA